AGGTTATTATTATTATTATTTGATGATAAATGAGTGTATATGTGATATTGATTATGTATGTGTATTGTATATGTTGTGTGTGTGTGTTATCTAACCTTTATTTCTGCACCTGAAATTGAGTGAGATGTTTCTCACTCCCTTGTTGTTCTTGTATATGTTTAAATTATGTTGCAGGTGATCATCATCGTGAGGATGTTGGTGATGAGGCTTAAGGCTTCAGTTGGGCATGCTCTGATAGGATGTGACATCGGGCATAGCTAGGCTTAGTTGGGATATTATTGTTTTAAAAGCCTTAGTTTTCTTTTCTTTTGTAATTTTGAACGTTCATGATAAAAGACCAAAATGTGCATCTTTGTCATATTATTTTTATTACATGGTTTGGAAGTTAAAAATTAATTCCTAACTAGGAGGCACTGCCACCTTTGCTGGAATTAATCTATATTTTTTTCTTTATATGATTTCTTGAGTTTTGATACTTACATGTTGACTTTTTATGATTTATGAGTTACGAATGTGAATCTTATACCTTATGATATTTGAGACAATTGTTTTATACATGAAAGATGTTATCAAACTATGAAAGATTTTATTTACTCAAAAAGAAAGAAAAAAAAATTCATTGTTTACATTTATTGTGTATTAATGTTGGGGTAGCGAGTGTCACATCAACTATCAAATCATCTGGTCATGAAGTCAAACACCATACACTTCATCATAACAACATTCATGCAATTAAGCAACACATGAAAGATATCAATGCATATCTATCATCTAATGCGTTGTCATGCATACACCTAGGAGATCTCCTTAACAGTAGAGCAGTATAAGTGACATCCCAATCCTACCAACACCACCCAGATCGTTTATGCAAGAAGGAAAGGTAGTAGTTTATGTTTTTAGGCAATAAAAAATTCATGAGAGGAATTACCTTACCCATGACCTTGAGTTAGTAGTTATGATATTTACACTAAGATTTGGAGACACTACCTGTACGGTTCTAAGCTTGAGGTATTTAGTGATCATAAGAGCCTTAAATATCTTTTGACCAAAGGAGTTGAATATGAGACAAAAGAGATAACTGGAATTTCTTAAGGACTAGGATTTTGATCTTAGTTGTCATCTGGGAAAAGCTAGCATGGTGGCTGATGCTTTGAGTAGAAAACCTCTAGATATATCTTCCCTTATGGTTAGAGAGATAGATCTTTTGGCTCGGTCTAAGGATTTAAGTTTGGCTTATGAGGTTACCCTAAGTAGTGTGAGACTAGGTATGACTCGAGTAATGAGTGGATTGTTGAAGAAATTGGAGAAGCATAATTCGTTGATTCATTTTGGTGTCAAGACATGAGGCTATAGGACAAGGTAGTGGATAAGAGTTGCCTTGGGTATAGATGAAGTGGTAAGACTTGGAGATCGATTCTGTGTACCTAGTGAACTTACGCTTAGGCGCTTGATCTTTGGAGAGGGTCGTAGAAATAAAGCTATTATTCTGGCAGATACCTTGAGTAGGATGATCTTTCATCTATCGTCTTTGATGATTTAAGAATTAGATTCGATTGAAGAGTTTAGAGATTTAAGCTTGGTGTGTGAGATTACCCTTAAGAGCATTGAATCAATTATGTTGAAAGTGACTAGTGAATTAATGGATGAGATTAGAAAAGCCCAAGAGTCAGATCCTTTCTTAGTGAACCAAGTGAAGAAGATTGATAGGAGTATAGGTAACCTTTTCTGAGTAGGAATTGACGTTGTTTGGAGGTGCAAGAACAAAATTTGGGTGCCTAGTAATCCCGAATTAAGAGATGATCTTAGAGGAAGGACAAAAGAGTACTCTTAGCATCCATTTAGGAGCTACTAAGATGTATCAGAGTGGCGCAACGGAAGCGTGGTGGCCTAAGGTGAAGAGAGGAGTAGAAGAAGTTTGTGTACTCATGTTTAGTATGGTATAAGTCTAAGACAGAACATCTACTACAAGAAAAATGTTGATTTCTGACGGAAACAAGTAAATTTTCGATGGATTTTTTTTTTCAACAGATTTTTTACGGATTTAAATCCGTCGGAAAAAGTGGCGTCGAAAAAAAAATTTCTTACAAATATCCATCATAAAATTTCGTTAGAAATTTTTGACGGATATTTCTGTCAGAAATTATAATTTTTTAAAAATTTTAATAAATTTATTAATGTTTAGTGTGTTTTATCCTTACTTGCGCAATTTCCGGGAAACTTCTCAGAAGGTCACCCATCCTTATACTACTTCAGGTCAATCACGCTTAATTGTGAAGTTCTGATGAGTAAGCTACAAAAATGTATATATATGTTGTCAGTATAATTTTGTACAAATTAATTCATTTAAGTCATCCTCAAATATACACGCTCCAACACTAGCTAAGGACTTAGAGGAGACTTGCCCAAACTAGTGGTCTATCTAAGCACCACTCTCACCCAAAATCAGTGGCCTATCTAAGCACCACTCTCCATTTATATTAGTGGCATATCTAAGCACCACTCTCAAGAGACTTTATGTGAGCTCTAACAGTTTGAAAACATTTTCCCTCTCCTCAAGTCCTAGGCTAGACACATACCATAAGGCATCACATGCAATAATGCATCATACATCATACATGGTCAATCCACCATCATGATCAATATCATTCTCATATGAACATATATAAATGTCATATCATATCTAAACATTCATACATATCATCACCATACATCATATATCATACATACATGATCAATTCTTCAACGTTAAACATGCATAAGCATCATTCCTAAATTAACAGCATTAAACATACTCATGCTCGATGCAACTCTAACACCCCAATTTTCAAAAAGGTTATTATTATTATTATTATTATTATTATTATTATTATTATATGGTATTTGTTCATAATTATTTTAATAATTATAAAGGAATATTATTTTGTACGTTTTAAATAATTATTGTTTTGGACAATTATTTTGTACGTATTAAATAAGTATTTTTATTAGCATTTTTAAATAAATATTTATATGTTTTAAGAGAAGGTTTATTTTATATGATATTTGCATTTATGAGTCGAGTCCATGACATCATTACATGATAAATGATGATAAATGAGTGTATATGTGATATTGATTATGTATGTGTATTGTATATGTTGTGTGTGTGTGTTATCTAACCTTTATTTCTGCACCTGAAATTGAGTGAGATGTTTCTCACTCCCTTGTTGTTCTTGTATATGTTTAAATTATGTTGCAGGTGATCATCATCGTGAGGATGTTGGTGATGAGGCTTAAGGCTTCAGTTGGGCATGCTCTGATAGGATGTGACATCGGGCATAGCTAGGCTTAGTTGGGATATTATTGTTTTAAAAGCCTTAGTTTTCTTTTCTTTTGTAATTTTGAACGTTCATGATAAAAGACCAAAATGTGCATCTTTGTCATATTATTTTTATTACATGGTTTGGAAGTTAAAAATTAATTCCTAACTAGGAGGCACTGCCACCTTTGCTGGAATTAATCTATATTTTTTTCTTTATATGATTTCTTGAGTTTTGATACTTACATGTTGACTTTTTATGATTTATGAGTTACGAATGTGAATCTTATACCTTATGATATTTGAGACAATTGTTTTATACATGAAAGATGTTATCAAACTATGAAAGATTTTATTTACTCAAAAAGAAAGAAAAAAAAATTCATTGTTTACATTTATTGTGTATTAATGTTGGGGTAGCGAGTGTCACATCAACTATCAAATCATCTGGTCATGAAGTCAAACACCATACACTTCATCATAACAACATTCATGCAATTAAGCAACACATGAAAGATATCAATGCATATCTATCATCTAATGCGTTGTCATGCATACACCTAGGAGATCTCCTTAACAGTAGAGCAGTATAAGTGACATCCCAATCCTACCAAAACCACCCCAACCATTTTCATGCCCAATGCGCCTGCTCGGTCACAGCTAATTAGGACATAAATCCTCACTCGATTTTACTCGGATGATGTCACTTACACAATTAAAAGTTCAGTTCCACTGTCAAGTATAACACAACTGGGTACAGGCTTCCCATGATCTTGACATGCATTACCAAGTCACTTGTGGAGTTTGCCCACCGAATATCTGCAAGGAACCATGCACCTTCCCCAGTACTTGGTTAAGGGAATAACCCTCGACCTCATACCCCGCTCCAACACTAGCTAAGGACTTAGAGGAGACTTGCCCAAACTAGTGGTCTATCTAAGCACCACTCTCACCCAAAATCAGTGGCCTATCTAAGCACCACTCTCCATTTATATTAGTGGCATATCTAAGCACCACTCTCAAGAGACTTTATGTGAGCTCTAACAACGGATTGGAAATTTTTGACAGAAATATAAATCTGTCAGAAATTTCTGACGGAATATTCCGTCAAAATTTTTTTACGGATTTATTTTTCCGTCAGAAATTTCTGACGGATTTATTTTTCCAGCGAAAACGTCAGAAATTTCCGACGGATTTATATTTTTGTCATAAAATTTTGACGAAAAATTTCTGACGAAAAATTCTATCAGAAATTTCTCATCTAAAATTTGCGTTTTTCTTGTAGTGGTCGTTACACATATCATAAACCTAAATATCTAATGTTCATAAATTAAAATTCTATATATTAATATTTTATAATTAATATAAAATTTAATTCAATAATAAAAAAATGTTATCCACACAAAATTCAATAATAAAAAAATCACAATCCTTAATTACTAGAAATTGGTAACAAATGGTTGATTAAATTGACTTAAATTTTTGAGTTTGGTTATCTCTTACTCTTTTCAATTGATATATTTGCTACACAATATTAATCTACTATATTTCTTTCTTTCTTTTTTTAGCACGTCTTCTATATTTCTTATGATTTTGATATTCCAATTAACAAATTTTCAAAACTTTTGTACTTTCCCCCTACCTATTTGTTATGAATCCCTTTTCCATCAAACATGAAACTCTTAAGAATTTAAGAAATAAGAGCAATAAAAACTAAAATATATTTAATTAATTATCCTTCATATTGGAGCAATATACATTAATAATTATATATGACACACGTAATTGTAAACAAGAGTGCAAAATAGATTCCTAACACATTCTAAGAAAATTATTTTAAAACATACTCATTTAATTTCGGTTTTTATTTTTTTGACGAAACATACCTAAATTCAAAAGTTTTAAAGCAGGAGCACCGGATGTATACATAGAGGATACAAAAGAAAAAGTATCATATGATGGGTCGAACCAACATAGAAAATAGAGAAGTGTTGTTATGAAGAAGCATGGTTAATGCGATTTGGGTTGAGAAGCTTGATAATGGAGATGAGTGAAATAATGAGGAGGAGAATGAAGGCAATGAAAGAGACAATAAGGGCAGCACCACCTCGGTTGCAATAGGTTTCGAATTTGTCACAGATCTTATCCCATCTTGCATGAGAATTACCATTCCTTCCCAATTCAGACATGAATGTTGCTGCACCATCTCCAGCTGATGCCAGAGCCATTGTCATCTTCACCCAAAATTGTAAGTAATCAGTTTTCATACACCAGCTACAAATTTAAATGAATAATAATAATAATAATAATAAAGTACTACCATGTCTAGTATAGCAATTAATGCAAGCCGGAGTCCTTTGTAATCATATTGGGGTCCTAATACATCCACTGCTATCATCACCAAATTATGCAGACTCGCACTTCCATTGGCTATCACAAAGAACCTACGTCATCCCAAAAAAACATATATGCATATAATACTAATTAAAACGTCAGGTAAAGAAACAGGAAAAGTGGAAAACACAATCATATTTATAATTAGAATAAATGGTATATTTAGTCTTTTTATTTTTTTTTCTAGTCTCAATTTCAATTTTAATTTTAAAATAAAGATATCAAGTTCCTCTAATTTTAAAAATACAAAATTTTAATTCTCTTATCAAATTTATATTTATTAATTGTTAAAATTTAATATTTATTCATATTTAAGTGATATAATATTTAATAATATAATATTTAAAAATGAAAAGAAAATATAAAATAAATATTAATTATTTGTTAAAATTTATACAAATAAAAAAATTATTTATTATTTTTTAATTTTTATCTTTAGATGTCACTCACTAAATATTATTTCACTTAAATTATGATAAGTCATTGAACAATTTGAAATTTTAATAATTAATATTTGGCTCAAATATGTTTTTAGTCTCTTAAATTTAAGACAAATTTATTTTTGGTCTCTCAAATTTAAAATTATTATTTTTAGTTCCTATAATTCTTATAAATCTTGTTTTAGTTCCTTAGGTCACCAATAACATGTTTGAAAGTGACTAATTAAGGCAATTATGCAATATCAATCGGATTTAATGCGATATTTTCATTAATAGTGACACCAATAAGTAGATTTTATGCTATAATGTTTGATAAATTTCTTAACAAAATTTGAATATAAGGATTGAAATAAGATTTTTTAAAATTACAGGGACTAAAAACAACAATTTTAAATTTGAGGGACAAAAAACAGATTTATCATAAATTTGAGGGATTAAAAACATATTTAAGTCTTAATATTTTTATTTTAAAATAAAAAAACTAAAATTAGATATCAACAAAAATAGAAGTAATAAAATTGCAATTTAACTTTATAATTAAAAACTTACACAAAAGCTGGAGTTTGGTTAAACTTTGCTGCAATAGTAGCTGTTATGGGGGTGCTACCAACGGTGGCAACCACGAAGCTTTTGGTCTGTTTGTTGAGAGCCATGACAAGTGTTGCAGATGCAGTGGCCACAAATGCAACCACTCTCAGGGACAAAAGAACCCAATTCTTCTTTGCCTTTGTCCCTGGAAATGCATTGAGACCACCAACCTCTACTTTTTCTCCATTTTCTGGGGCCATTAAGCACTTACGTACCAAAGTGATCGAGAAAATGATATGATATGATATGATGGTGCAGATTATTAGGGAGAGGAATGGGTTATTATAGAAAGGGATAGTGAAATTGGTCAACCATATCATTTGTTGAGTCAAAGAAGCCAAGTGTGGGTTCTTTCTCGGAATTTCTAAGGTGGTGTAACCAACAGAAAACTTCAGGTGGTTGTTGGTTGGTGAAGAAATACTTGTCCAATTACCTTTTTGTTTTGGAAACATTTAGATTAATTAATTTAATAAAACTAAGAAATAGTTTTTAATTAGACGATATGGTATGTTAAATTAAAAATATGGAGCAAAATAAAAATTATGTTTTTAAGAAATCCAAGTCGTTGGTAAAGGTTGATATAATTAATTACTTGGATTAAATATGTTCATTATTTTGTTCGTTTTGAATCCGTAGATTAATGATTTTGAATAAAGCAATTGTATTTTCTTCCTAAACTTTTGATTGCCAAAACATAAAAAGTGGATCATCAACTCCTTCTCTTAAATGTTCCATGAATATCTACTACTTAAAGTCATTTCTAATTAATTAATGTGTTGTACAAATTAATCTCGCAAATTATTTACCAAAAGCAATCCAAATTAATAGTTTAATGCATCAAATGCGTCACCGGAGGAGGGCTATGACAACTTTAATTTTTAAGAAACAATTTTGTTTTTCTAAACAGACGTTTTCAGAACTAATTTAATAATTATCTTAAAACCAACTCGTATGGAAAAATTAACTCGTATAAAAAATTAACTTGTACTAAATCTATTTGAAGCCCTCAAATTTTTAAGAGGCCGGGATATGATTAATTGATGTAAAGTGATCAAAGTTTGTGGAAAGAACATCTCCAATAATTTTAATTAGGGTTAGTTGGTAGAATGAAAATTTTTTCATACTGAAAATCATGATTTGTAAAAATTATAATTTTATAAATAATTAAATATATTTAATTGTTCATAAATATTTTTAAAAAAGTTTATAAACATTAACTAGGAATCAAAGATTTTTATGGTATAACTAGACAAATAAGGTAACTTAATATTTTTAAAGTAGTAAAACATTTCTTTTATCTAAGGAATGTTAGATTCCTATATATATATATTTTTTTAAGAAAAGGGGCTTAAAAGCCCAAAACAGAAGATTCCTACCTATTCCATGGTAACAATTTGGTGGGAGACCTGTATATAAAAATTATTTCTAGGAAATCATGTGTTTCTTATAAGAATGTTATTATTTTGGATGATAAACCAACTATGAAAAACTAACATTCTTAACTTTAGATTCAACTTAAAGTAAAAATATTATGCATAACAAAAGTTGCCTTAAAGTAAATATTATTAGCTCAATCATAATTACTACAAAAAAAATTATTATATAATGATACACATTTTATAATAATACAATATTTGTCACTAAAATCTACTTTTATCTACATTATAAATACAATATATGTTAGTATATTGTTAAAAAATATTGGTATAAGCTATAATAACATAATATGTGTTGTTAAATCTCATTTAAAATCAATACTAAAATTATATGTAATTATACGTCAAACAAATTTATATTTACAGTGATATTTTTTTTGTATGTCATTATGTGTAATATTTCTTGAAGTGAATGCATATTAACTATCAAGATGTGATATGATTGATAAAATACTTTATCCTAAATGTGGTTGATGTATGGTCCTTAATTTATGTATGTGGACAAATATTTGTTGAGAGAGATTCACCAATTAAATAAAATTTTAGTGTCTCAAGAGATTGATCATTAACTTTCAATTAAAGATACCTAGTTAATAAATAATAAAAAAAGACTACAAAATTTCAACAATTTAAAAATATAGATTTTTATCATCTTATTATTTCATTGTGTAAAATGCCATTTTATCAAACAGATTGCGTGTGTATCCGTGTGTGTGGGAGGCAAATTTGTTTTACTTATAAGCATTACAAAGTTTTATGGATAAATTTTTTTTTACAAAGTTTGAATCTAATATAGCACATTTAGGAAAAACATGCTATTTGTGGTGGTTAAATTTGCCATTTCTGGCTATTAAAAACTAAAATGGCATTTTCGAAATTTAAAATAACATCGCAAGCGCCAAAACAATTTGTTGCAGAACTTAACTAAACATTGGCATCGCTAGGAAAGAAAAATAATTTCTAGCAGTTATATAACCCCACAAATGCATTTCAGTTCTATTTAAATTTTTATTTTTTGGTGATTTATAACTACCAAAATGTGTTTTTTATATATTTTTATTCGGTAGTTTTTGAGAGTTAAAAATCGTCACAAAATATAATTTTTTTTTTTACAACAAACCATACCAAGTGAATACAAAATAAGCATAATCTGACACCGAAATACTTTATGATCTTCTTCAACATGAATAACATGCATTTTATGGTAATAATTTTTCCAAATCTAGATCTACTATTACTCCAAAATTTGAAATCACACTTCAAACCAAAGAGCTATGCCAACTGATACCGCAAACCAAAAGCATACATTTAACTAAAACCATAAGTCATGAAGCCCTCGTGGGAACCGACAAACCACACCACTGCCTGACCTTGCTTTGTTTCATCTTCCTTTTAATACAGGCATCCAAAAACAAACCTTCCCAACCTCAATATTTGCACATATGAACCTAATGTTTTGGGCCTAGAAAGTTATTCATTCATTTTGAGTCATAGAAATACATTTTAATTGAATTTGGTAGCCATGTTGCCAGCCATGTAGAAAGGCTCACATGGACTACACAAATTCAATGCAAATGAACACATAACCTCCTTAGATCTACTAGCACTAGAGCTGTCAAAACGGGTAACCCGGCCTGGCCCGGCCCGGCCCACCACGGGTTGAGACTTTGGTGGGCCAAACCAACTCAACTCGCTTATTGGCGAGCTGGAAAAAGTTGAGCCCGGCCCGGCCCACCACGGGTTGGTGGGCTAAACGGGTTGACTCACCTAATTTGAAAAAATCACCTAATTTTAAAAATTATTTATTTGAAATAAATTTAAAATTTTGAAACCCATGAAGACATGCCACAAAGCATGACCCTGAGGGTTAATAGGCCAACGGGAAATCTCCTTGCACAAAATACGGTCACGGAACCCAAACAAACTGCCAAATAAAAAAGTAACTAGAAATAGCTTTGCAAGCCGCTTGGCAGAAACATCTTTAGTGTAAATGTAATACTTGTACATTCTCGGAACGCAGAGGAGAATGAGAATGATATAATGCACTTTGAAGCCAATACCAAAATGAAACACTGAATGGGCAATGGCAAAAGCAGCACCATACACGAATGGAAGTGGGTGGAGAGCGAATAGCCTATAAATTGAAATTTCCTAATGATAAGGTTTTCAATTATAAAAAATTGATCCAGCCACAAACAACGAGGAAAAATCAGTTTAGAAGCATATAACGTTACCTGAACTGAAGCTAAAGGAGGAATAATTATTCGTGAGCAGTTAGCGAGTTCACTTTTTGGCGACGACGCCTGCTACTCGGAGTTCCACGCAAGGCCGATGAAGAGTGAAGACAGCGAGAGTGAAGAGCGGGTAGTGCCTCCTAGGCTCCTGGCTTGCGGCGTTGACGAGGGTGGGTGTGTGAGAAATGAGAATGAGAACTCATTAGTGATTAGGGTTACGGCGTAAAAGAAATTTTAACTTTATTTGGCCCAACCCAATAGCACAAGTTTTTTTTTATTTTATGGGTTGGTGGGTCAGCCCGGCTCACCATGGGTTTAACCCGGGTGAGCCGGGTTGTTAGTGAGCCGGGTTTAAAATTGGCCCACACTGAAATTTTCAAATTTTTTTTAGCCCAACCCGGCTCAAACCCGTGGTGGGCCGGGTTGGCTCACCGGGCTGAGCCCATTTTGACAGCTCTAACTAGCACATGGATCTACTAGGTTCATGCACCAATTTGAATTTCAATTTCAAATTGGCGCACCTAGTAACTAGGATTAGGGAATCATGTTTGCTTAGACCTTAGTTTAACCTAGCTTCCTCCATAAGACAATTAGTTCTATTTAAGGCTTCTCCTTGATGTATTTGGTCAATTTTGAGTTTTATGAGTATTCTATATTCAAAATTATCTCTTTTCTCGCTCAAAAATCTCATTGGAGAATCACTCTCCTTAAGTAGTTTCAATAAGGAAACTTTCCTTATGGATTAGTGCTATAGTTTCGCTTGCTTCTTCCTTAGAAGAGTGCGCCCTACTAAACACCTATTCTTCCATCTTTGTTTGGTCAAATCCATTGAAAAAATATCAAGGAAGATCAAAGTGAGATCAAGGAGTCTCTTAGATGAATTTGGTCATCATTCAACTAAGTAGAATCCATCATACTAATTCATCAATGATGCCTTATCAACCCTTAAAAAAAATAGTCAATTAGTAAAGAGATGTTGATGAGTAACTTAGCAATAATTACTCACATCAAAAACTTTTAAATATTGGGAAACAAATCAATGAAATCACTTGATAATTGAAAAACCACGACTAATTCCTACTAATTGTAGCAAAAATTACAACAACAAAAAATATCCATATGACTACATTTCCGTATGTACTTTGATTTATGTTTGGATGTGTGTTGTGTGCCATAAGTGTGATTCCATGTGTACTTGATATGGGTTAAGTGTTGTAGTATGGTTGTTTTCGTTGGTTCTTTTGTTTGTTTGATACTTCTTACTTACATAAGAGGTTGGGTGGTATCATTCAGGTTGCGAGCTTAGGTGCAAGTAATAGTGGATGACTCTTCATGCTAATCAACTAAAAATAACTAGAAAATTTTTCTTAATGTGATGTTGAGCCTTTAGTTGTACTCTTGATTTTTGTGCAACTTATTCCTTTGTTTTATTTGTTTGTTTGTCAACAGTCAATTGCTTAAGTTCTTCTAATTTATCATCTTTATGAAACTCCAAATAGTAGTTTTGTTTATATTCCTATTGCTTGTTTATAACATCTTTTACAAGTTCTTGTTGAAATTCTAGTTGATTTGATTTCTTT